CAGGCTGTAGGGATTATCACTTTGGCCCAACAGCACATTTCTGTGGTCATGCTTTCAATCACTCCATTAACTCTGATCCTGACTATGCACAAGAAGTGTTGGACATATCCTAAGGATTTCATTTCTCCACTTACTTGTACTGAACAACTTTAGAGCTAAACCAACTACCCTTGTGCTTTTAGCATCTCTCTGAACTTGTATTTGTCCTTATCATGTATGATTATTCCTTCAGGAAACAGCATGGCTTTAAAAAAAAAAAATGTTGCCAGGCACGGGTGGCTCATACCTGTAATCCTAGCTACTCAAGAGGCAGAGAACTGAGGATCTTGGTTTGAAGCCAGCCTAGGCAAGACAGTCCATGAAACTCTTATCTCCAATTAACCACCAAAAAGCCCGAAGTGAAGTTGTGGCAAAACTGGTAGAGTGCTATCTTTGATTACAGAAAGTTCAGGGAGGGGCTAGGAAGGTGGCTCAGTGGTAGAGTGCTTGCTTTGCCTGCATGAGGCCCTGGGTTCAATTCTTAAGCACCACATGAGCAGAAAAAGCCGCAAGTGGCACTGTGGCTCAAGTGGTAGAGTGCTAGCCTTGAGCTGAAGAGCTGAGGACAGCACCCAGGCCGAGTTCAAGCCCCACGACCGACCCCCCCCCCCAAAAAAAATTTAAAAATAAATAAATAAATAAATAATAAAATAAAATAAAAAAGTTCAGGGACATTGCTCAGGCCCTAAGTTCAAGCCCCAAGACTAGCAAAACTAAAAAATGTTTGGGGGTAGAATGACTGAAGGTCTGACACTGATCAAGATGCATTACACTCATAAACTGATATGTTGAACTGAAACCCTTTCATACAATTATTTAAAGATAAAATTTTAAATTAATTCAAAAAATCTCTTAAAGCTACATTAGCAATGTGCGGGTTTTGAATTATTTCTCTTTAAACAAAGATGTAACTATTGGACATGTTCTAATTTGTGTTCTGCTCTTTCAGAAATTTTTCTCTTTTGATTATGTAGTTAGGGTTATAGTCCTATCTTTGTCATGAAGCTCTGTATGGACAAGCCACTTAGTCTTTTTTTTTTTAAACTGTGAAAATACCGTACAGAGGGGTTACAATGGTAATGAGTGCATTTCTTATAAGTACCGCATGCTAACCGATTGCGCCACTGGAGCTCCATGAGTGCATTTCTTATCAAGCATTGTTGCCTCCTCCTTTGTTTCCCCTTCCCATCCCTTCCCATCACTCCCTCCCCCCCCAAACTTAGTCTTAGTATGACATAGATATACATGAAAGTACTCTGTAAATTGCACTTAAAATGTATTGATGATTGTGTGAACTAAATACTCACTAAATTTTGCTCAATATTTAAAATTTTTATCTGGTACTTTTATCCCTTCCCTTCTCTTCCTTCTTTCTTGCTTTTTTTTTCTCCTACCTTCCTTCCCCCTCACCCTGCCCGCCCACTTTCCTTCCTTCCTTCCTTTTGCAATATTGGGGTTGGGACTACCCAGGGACCTTGTGATTACTAGGCAGGTGCTCCACCATGTGAGCAACACTCCAGCTCTATCCAATTCTCTTCATTATATTTTTAGTGAATTAATCTAAGTACCTGTCATTATTTTGGTACATTTAAAAGATTCTTTCCATTATAACAAAGCAGATTCTGGCTCAGTAAGTACAGAATGATTTATGACCTTAAAATAGCAGCACTGAAAACAGGCAATTCTTCATTTGCTTAGGATGAAACTTACTGCAAATGATTTTAGGAAGATTGACTCATAGCCAACAGCAAAAATGACATTTTGTACATTAAAAAAAAGGTTTGCCCTTCTTAAATCTAATAAGTTTAAGTCTTAAGATGGACCCAGTTTGAAATCACATCTGAAAAAAAACAAACAGAAATTGTGGAGTGTTTTAATACATTTAATGCCTTGTCAGTGTTGGATCAGTGACCCAACAGGCAAGAGATAAACAAGGACACATTGTGTGTGTGTGTGTGTGTGTGTGTGTGTGTGTGTGTGTGTGTGTGTGTGTGTGTGTGTGTGTGTGTATCAGATGAATTCACTAGAAATATAACCCAAATTATTAGATACAAATTTTTGACCTTTAGAAAAATTTAGGTCATTTAGTTCAATCACTATTACACTTGAAATGAAATTTACAAAGCGCTTTATACATATATTATAATATACAGATACAGATACCCATATAGATACATTCCCCACAGAGTTAAAAGCATTTCTAAGGTTTCATTATTTTGTTTTACTAATGGACTCCAGAAGTGGGATTTAATAGGCTGATAATTTTACCCACCCACCCAGAAGAACATCAAGAAGTGTCAATTTTCTATTTAGCCAAATAATTTGTAAAAGTAATGAAACAACCATCTATCATCAACACCAATTTATTAAAGGAAATTTTAATGACACATTTGTGGAAGATAAATTTCAGAATAAAGTACACGGTAAAATTAAATAAGCCAGGCGCTGATGGTTCACTCCTGTAATCCAACTCAAGAGGCTGAGATCTGAGGACCACGGTTCAAAGCCAGCCCAGGCAAGTAAAGTCCATGAGACTCTAATCTCCAATTAACCAGAAAAACCAGAAGTGGTGTTGTGGCTCAAGTGGTAGAGCACTAGCCTTGAGCTGAAGAGCTTAGGGACAGTGCTCAGGCCCAGAGTTCAAGCCCTACAACCTATTAAAAAAAAATATGAAAATGTGTTACAGGGCTCCATTTGTTTAATATCTTCTTGGAAAGCCTTGTTAGACTTAGACCTGTCCATACACAGATCTTGAGAATCACCAATTTAATCCATTCCATGTACCCTCTCCCCTACCACACCAATGAACAATCTTCATACATATACCCTATGTTCTTATGGAGATTTCTTCAAGGTGAAAAATTCGTTGGATTTTGAATAACTATGATAACGACTCAGTGGAATAGTTGTTATTTCTGGAACCCTCACAATACTTATATATGGGATTAAGGTGAAAATGTAGACGGAATTTAGGGGCAGAGGCTGTAAATTAGCCCCCAAAGTTTTACACAGTGTGCTAGTATTGATTTCCAAACAGTTACCCTGAATTTTTATCATACTTCAAAAATCTCACACCTGCAATTCTAGCTACTCAGGAGGCTGAGATATGAGGATCACCCTTCAAAGACAGCCCAAGGCAAGTAAATCCATGAGGCTCTAATCTCCAATTTAACCACTGTGGCTCAAGTGGTAGAGGGTTCGCCTTGAGCTGAAGAGCTCAGGGACAGTTCAGTCCCCACAACAACCTCCCCCACCCCACACACACAAAATCTCACACTATAATGTTGGGAAGTTCCTTCTTGTTTGGTTATAATCTCTTCTCTGGGAAACTGGATAGTAACAACCAGCTTTCTAAATTGCAGTTCAAACTTCATTTTTTATTTTAATTAAATTAAATTAATTAATTAATTAATTTATTTTTTGAGGTCTGGTCGTGGGGCCTGAACTCTGGGCCTGGGTGCTGTCCCTCAGCTCTTCAGCTCAAGGCTAGTGCTCTACCACTTGAGCCACAGTGCCACTTCCAGCTTTTTTCTTTTTACTTATGTGGTGCTGAGGAATCGAACCCAGGGCCTCAGGCATGCAAGGCAAGTGCTCTACCACTGAGCCACCTTCCCAGCCCCTTCATTTTAATTTTAATATAATTATCTTATTTAGGGTGGGTTATGTTTAAATGCTTGCAACTGAGACTGGATTTACATTACATATAACATCAACCAAGGACATGTTTTTTGTGGATATTATTACTTCCAGGCCCAATTTTCTCAGGTCAAAGTTCGTTGATCAATCCTTTTTTTGTTTGTTGGTCCCCAGTGGAGCCTGAACTCAGGGCCTGGGTGCTGTCCCTGATATCTTTTTGCACAAGGCTAGTGCTCTACCACTTAGAGCCACAATACCACTTCTGATTTTCTGGCGGTTAATTGGAGATGAGTCTCACAGATTTTTCCTGCGTAGCTACAGGGTAAGCCACCAGCACCCAGCTTGATCAATCTTTAATTTGGAAATTTGACTGTGTAAAGTTCTAAACGCTATCCATTGTGTTATTTCTGACATTTGGGCCAATATTGTAGTTTTCAACATAACCAAGATATGATTCCTCCGACTTTTTTTGAGTGGGGGGTGGGGGTGTGGACTATAAAAGCCTTTACTGTGCACAGTTTTTCAGTTGTCTTTTTCTTTTTTCTCTGGGTCCGGTCATGGGGCCTGAACTCTGGGCCTGGGGCGCTGTCCCTCAGCATTTCAGCTCAAGGCTAGCACTCTACCACTCGAGCCACAGCGCCACTTCTGGCTTTTTTCTTTTTTTGCTTATGTGGTGGTGCTGAGGAATCGAACCCAGGGCCTCATGCATGCAAGGCAAGCGCTCTACCACTGAGCCACCTTCCCAGCTCCCAGTTGTCTTTTTCTGTTGATTCCCTCACTAATAGTCTTGGTGAAGCACCTATATTAGGACTGCGCCTTGAAGAGCACATGTATTAATGGGGCGACAACGCAAAGGGCAGAAGCTTTTATTAGCTATTTAAAAAGATTAAAGGGCCTTCAATACTTCGTAGAGCACAGAATTCTAAGGACAAGTAATCGGGCAGGCCTTGGTGAGACCGAGGCGCTGCGAAGGAGCCCTGGGCACCAGGAGCCCCCTCACCCAGGGCAGGACCCAGGCGGGCCGCGGGGAGAGCCTCAAGACCAAAGGCTAACAACCGTTCCAGAGTCAAGGTCAGTACCATCCCTCCAGGAGTCCAGCAGGACTCCCTCCCTCCCTCCCCGACGCGCGTGGAGGCGCAGGGCCGCACAGCCTCAGAGGCTACGCAGGCCCCAGGTTACTGACAGGTAGCCCGCAGAAAACCTCTGGCGAGCGGAAGTGGAAGTGAGCCCGGGGCTGAGGGGGGGGGGGGGGGGGAGGAGGGAAGCGCAAGCCACAGTGCGCCTGCGCACTGGGCAGGCATCGCCAGCGCGCAAGGGTGGCTGGGCGGTGACGGAGTGAGGTCCGGAGCGTGGGCCGTGGCTCTCACGAATCCGGCTCCGCCCTCCCTCCTGCAGCCGACCCTACGAGGCTAGCGCCTGCGATCCCTTTCCCAGAGTGCTCTGCGCCGTGAAGAAGCGGCTCCCGGGGACTGGGGGCATTTTGTGTTGGCTGGAGCAGGAGTAACAAGATGGCGGCGTCGACGGAGTGACTGGGGTCCCTCCGGGCCGAAGCCGGCAGCAGTGGTGGCAGAGTTACCGCCGCCCTAACCTAACCGTGCCTCACCTCCAGCCCGCCGCGTCGCGGTGAGAGCGAGCCGGCGGCGGCCGCCGAGGAACAAGTGGCCTGGCCCTGGTAACCACGACCCCCCCTCAGCCCGCGGCCTGGCGGAGCGGGACGCGGCCGAGCGGCGGTGACCGGTTCTCCTGGGCTCTGCAACGCCGGGACGGACCTCCGTTCTCCATCTTGCGCCGCCCTCCTCGGCTCCGCCGGGCGCGCCGGCCCCGGAAGCCTCCGTCCGCCCCGTAGAGGTGTCGGGGCTCGGCCCCAGCCTCCATCTTCGCGTTCAGGATGGCGAGCAGCAGCGGCTCCAAGGCCGAGTTTATTGTCGGAGGGAAATATAAACTGGTGCGGAAGATCGGGTCTGGCTCCTTCGGGGACATTTACCTAGCGATTAACATCACCAACGGCGAGGTAATTTCGGGGGGGGGGAGGAGTTCGCGATACCGGCGCGCCCTGGCTCGCCCCTTCCCCTAATGCCCTCCCCCTCACGGCGGGGCCGGGTCCCCGGCAGCCCCCCCCACGGCGGGACCCCCTCCCCTAGTGCCCTCCCCCCCCCACGGCGGGGCCCGGTCCCCGGCACGCACGCACCGGGCCCTCCGGAGAGAGCCGGCCGTCGGGCCTGGCCGCCTCCCCCGCTCTCTCTTCCCTAAAAAGGCAGGCACCAACCAGAAGGGCCGGGTGGAATGTGGAGTTTCCTAGCCTGAGAAAGCAGCTCTCGGAGCCTTTCAGACCGTTATTGAGGGCGAAGTGTGTACACGCGCGGGGGCTCCCCGTCCTTCTCGGCACTTTTGGCATCTCGATCGCGCGGCCGGACCGTGTCCGATCGCGTAGGGTCCTTCAGAGCCCCCGCTGACCGACGTGCGTTCGAGGCTGCTGCCTCTTTGATCCGTGCGTTTCAGAGGACGGGCCAGTTTCGTCATTGATCCTCCGAAGCGGCCTCTGGGGCTTAGTTGCCGCATTTGTAATTACAAAGGGAGCTTTCACTTCCTCCTCGTAAGTCTCCTTTGCGAGCTTCGCCCCATGTCTTCTCCGCTCTCCCAAGTGACATTGAGTCCATTGGGATGTTGATGCCATCATCCCTCTTTCCCTGCAGGAAGTGGCAGTGAAGCTAGAATCTCAGAAGGCCAGGCATCCCCAGTTGCTGTACGAGAGCAAACTCTATAAGATTCTTCAAGGTGGGGTTGGCATCCCCCACATACGGTAAGAACCCATAACCCCCAGGCGATCCACTGGGGCTAGTGTGAAATGGGAAATGGGGTAAAGGTAGTTAATGGGACCAGCCAAAATCCTGGTCTAGCTATTGAGTTACCTGGGTTCGCTACAGGCTGTAGTTTCCAGTGAACTGTTAAGTCACGATGATCATTGAGGAAATACGAGTTTGCTACACTCAACCCCATTTTAACTCCCGTCATTTTGTCTCCTCTTCCCGAGCTTTCGTTTGAAGTTAAATAAGCAGGACATCTTTGATCCCTAGAGGAAAGGCTGACCGCTGCTTTCTATAGGGTAGCACCCCTGCTGTTTGAGGTTTGTCCATTGAAGTGGATTTGAAGGTGCCAAAGTGACGGGGCTCAGCCAGTTTGGGTTGCTATTGGAGCTGGCTTGGGAAATGGCTGCTCTTTTGTTGTGTTTTTGTTCCAACATGTCTTCCTCCTCCGCTTAGAAAATGGCGGAACGACGTGACTCAATCCCATGTTCCTGCCCTTTTTCTCAGCGTGGGTTCACAAGTGGGCCTTCCTTAATTCTGTTTTAGAAAAACCAAATGGATTAACTCTTTGAAAAGACAAAAATAAAGCTGTGGGGTTCAAGGAAGGAGATGGCATAATGACATGTTGATGATCTCTTGTAGCAGATGTGACAAATAGTTAACTAGAATAGTATCAGATTCTTCATATTCTTCTCTTCCTAAATGGTAATGTTGGATACATTCAGTTCATATTAAATTGCTATGGTTAATGGCAAAGGTAGTTTGAGCAAGACCAACTGTTGAAAGTTTCTTATCAGCTGTATTAAAGGAAAGCGCTTAACCACAGTTTGATTAAGTAATTTTGACCTGTTGATCCATGAGTAAAAGTTTGAGGAAATTATGGCCTTATGAAAAAATGAGATTTGGTGAATACCAAAACTCATTAGGAAATAAAGGATTTTTTTTAAAAAAAAGACCAGATGAAAAGACTGTTCTTTCAAATGGTTAATTTTATTCTAATGAGCTTTAGAGTAGGTTTTTGGCTTTTGAGACTAAAGAATCTTTTTCTAGAATAGAACCTAAAATACAGTTTAAAACCCAGCTGCTTTCTAGCAGTACTCAAAAATAACATTTACAGAATGACTCAGAATAGTTATGAATTAAATGGAATGATATATAGTTTTCTCTTTTTCTATTCCAATTTCTATTTTTAAAAACTTGAAGTGCTAGAGGAATTCAAGCTATGGAAACAACCAAAATAACATACATGAAAACAGTTCAATATGACCTTCATTTTTAATGGAGAAATTAAATGGTGAAGTAAATGATTACAAGCAATAACTTCTGTGGAAGAAAATTCTACATTTATCTTCTGTGGTAAAAATTAATGTGAAAATCAAGATGAGATGATCCACATTTGAAGTTTGTAATACTTTTCCTTTAAAAAAAGAATGGAGAAATCAGAGCCCTGGCTGCTGCTTGGTTGCTTTCCATCAGTATAGTTTTCCCTAGCATTTTTTACAGGTGTAAAAAATACACTCATACAGTATGAGGGTATTTGTGTCTGATACCTTTCACTTAGCATCATGTTTTGGGAGATTGATTTGTGTTGGGAGATTTATTAGATTTCATAAATTGGGTAGAATTTAATATATTTGGGAAAAATTTCTAAACATCTATTGTCTTCAGAGCTACACTCAAGTACATGCTCTTTTATCTGGTAGTTTATATTTAAGGATAAAGCAGACAGTAAGGGCCATGAGTAATATACTAAATAAACACATGAATAAATGAAATTAACTTCTGAGCACACTAGTAGGTGCCTATTATAAGATGGTTAAGTGCTGAGAGTTATGGTAGTTATAAACTCTCTGGGTGACATTAAGGAGACAATCTGTCTTTCAGATTAAGTCTTCCTAGAAGAGAAGATGGGAATTCAGGATCTGGCTGTAGGGAAGAAGAAAGCTTGGGGAACTGGTTGGGGAGGTCATCCAAGAAGAGTGGCTTCTGGGAGTGGTTTCTAAAGCAGAATGTGGTAATTGGATGAGTGAAGAAAGTGCATTTGTTTTAGAAGTGGTTTGGTAAGTTATATAGAAACAAAGGTAGCTCATTGGTTTCAAAGTGACTGAAAGGACAGTTTTCCAACTCAATAGCATAAAAGGCAGAATTACATAAACATTGTTGTTTGAGTGTCAACATTTCCCCAACTTTCTAATTTGTTCCTTACTATTTCTGCATCACTGTTCATAATATATACCTAATAAATATTTACTTGAAAATAATGGACAAAGTTGGCAGTTTAGTGTTGACTAGTTTAAAGTAGTCTGTATTGTTAGTCATTGGTTTAGAAGTGTTGACTCTACTTACAAAAAATTACCCAGGCACTGGTGGGTCATGCTAAACTACTCAGGAGGCTGAAATCTTAGGATCATGGTTCAAGCCAGCAAAAAAATTAAAAATACCAGATTAATTTCCTACATACATCCTCCTTCCTGTCAAACGCCCCTCCCCCCCAATCTCTGTTTGTAGGATTTGCTTTAAGGTATTTAGGGATATTCTAAAACAAAATTACCTAACCTATGTAGCCCACTTGCCTAATCAGGGTTTTCCTGTGTAATTTAGGGATCTGAAATAGAAGCCTAGCCTTCAGTATAAAGAGCAAAGTTGAAAGGATGGCATAAATCTTTGCAAATTGTGGGTTTACATCTAGAAAGTTCTGTTGTAACCCTATCTTTGCCACTTGAATTAGCATCCTCCCCCCCCACCCCCCAACTTTTTTTTTTTTGCCAGTCCTGGGGCTTGAATTTAGGGCCTGGACACTGTCCCTGAGCTTCTTTTGCTCAAGACTAGCACTGTACCACTTGAGCCACAGCACCACTCTCAGCTTTTTCTGTTTCTGTGATACTGAGGAATTGAATCCAGGGCTTCATGCATGCTAGGCAAGTGCACTCTACCACTAAGCCACATTCCCAGCCTGAATTAGCATTCTCTTGAGAAATAACTATAAACAGAATGTGCTAGTCAATGCAATTAGATATTGGAAGTTTGAGCTCTAGATATTCATGTAGTATTGAGTGGGCTCTGTGGGCTATCAGTTCCTCATCTGTAAAATAAAAAGAAATTTATTTAGTTTTCTAGTTTTGTTTGGATTGGAAAGTACAGGGCAGAAAAGCAGTGTGTGTGTGCGTGCGTGCGTGCGTGCGTGCGTGTGTGTGTGTGTGCGTGCGTGCGTGCGTGCGTGCGTGGTAGAAGGGTATTCTTTGTTTTTGTATATCCTGCTTCTGGGTCAGGTTTTAGTAGGGTCAGGGACCCCTACTTCTTACCTAGTTGAACTTGGATCTTTCAGTTCTGGAATTTTAATACTTGTTTTCAGAGACTATCAACTAGAAAAACATTTTATCAGTTTGATGTTATGTTACTTTAAATGTTATTTTAGTAAGAAAATACCACATAAGACTTAAATAGCAAGTTTCTGGTAAATCATATATTGACCATTTAGAAGAAGTAATGTAGGAGACATACTTTTATAAAGAAATCATGTATATTGGGGCTGGGAAGGTAGCTCAGTGGTAGAGCGCTTGCCTTGCATGCCTGAGGCCCTGGGTTTGATTTCCTCAGCACCACAAGAGCAAAAAGAAAAAAGCCGGAAGTGGCGCTGTGGCTCAAGTGGTAGAGCGCTAGCCTTGAGCTGAAGAGCTGAGGGACAGCACCTAGGCCCAGAGTTCAGGCCCCACGACTGGACCCAAAAAATAAAAAATAAATCATGTATAAAGATGGGTGGGAATATAGGAGAATTGCTCCTGTCTTCTGTTTGTTAACCACAACTTTATTCCCTGTCTGAATGTGAACCAACCTTCTTTCCTTCCTTCCTTCCATCCATCGGTTGTGGGGCTTGAACTCCGGGTCTGGGCGCCATCTCCTGTGCTCTTCAACTCAAGGCGAGTGCTCTACTGCTTGAGCTACAATGCCACTTCCGGTTTTCTAGTGGATAAGAGTCTTAGAGACTTTCCTGCCTGGGCTGGCTTTGGACCGAGATCCTCTGATCTCAGCCTCCTGAGTAGTGTGAGCAACCGGCACCCATTTCAGTCTTTCTTGTCAGCATTAAGCATGAGTGATAATGTAATGCTATTATGAGAGAACAAAAATGGTAACTACGTTTGATGCATTCAGAATCCATTAAAGATCCTAGATGTATGAGAAATGGATTTTTATCTCAATGTGTAACTAAATTCCCACCACTCTAGAAGTGCTTTATATTAGTTTATTTAATACTATAATGCTAACTAGCATTTTTGATCTGGACAAGACTGGAGGCATAAATAGTCCCATCATAAAATTAGTCCACTGAATTCTAGAAGAGTTACCAGAGTCTACCTCTCAATCCTCCTGGCAGCCATTATCCACCTATCTGTCAAGGTCCCTTCGTGCTTGCTGATAGATTCCCTCCCTTTTCATTCAATGATACTTTGCTTTGGTTTCATGTTGAGATATTCAAAAGCTCTTCTGTAAGTGTAAGTAACCTAGGCTAGGGGTGTGAATCAATGTTGGAGTGCTTGTTTAGCACACAGAGGCCCTGGGTTCATTCACCAGCACCATACAAAAATTAATGTAATTTATTAATGCACATTATTTAACTAGAGGTTTATAATTTGGGATATTATCCCTCTTGAACTCATAGATTGTAGTTTAAAGTTTTTTTTATTTTACATCTTATTTGGAGTAAATACTTGGGGACCCATGTGCAGTATATAGGGTTTTTTTTTTTTTTCAGTCATTTTTAGAGCTCATTTTATGTCAAAAAAATTTAATTGTACCTACCTAAAGTATTAAGAAAGCTTTTTCGCATGGTCTTTTAATATTTAGTAAGGGATTTTGCAATCAAGAATGCTGTCATCATCAGCACACATACATACGAAAAAGAGTCAGGCTTCTACTTTTAATATTTAGTAAGGGATTTTGCAATCAAGAATGCTGTCATCATCAGCACCACATACATATGAAAAAGAGTCAGGCTTCT